GAAGGAGAAGGGGGGGGAAGATGAGAAAGGGGAAGAACGGGAGGATGAAGTCTACCGTAAGCCCAAAACGCATCAAAGATGCTGCATGCAACCCTTCCTCGACATTTCCTCTTCGTAGAACCCTACAAACAAATACTATCATGTGAGGGAGGTGCTCCATTGAAAGACAACGGCCGGTAATCATCAATCATGCCAAAACATCGTTCGCTGGACTTCGACGCCCCGCGGATCAACGTGACTGCTGCGTCCTTACCATCACAGATCGTGCCACCACAAGAGTCCTGGGACTTCAACAAGCGAATCAACCTGACTGCTGCGTCCAAACCTATTTCGTCCCAGAATGCAGATCCTGGAGCCTCAACCCTAAGAATCCTTGAACTTGTTGCAAACGTGTGAACACATGCGCCAGCGCTAATGCGAGAGCCACCTGTTGAAAAGGAACCACCCCCCATCCTTACACTGATGCCGCTGCTTAAGACGAATATTCGCGGCGTTAAGACGAGGGCCTCGATTTGAAAACACCCGCCCTCCATCCTTGAAGCTACTGCAGACCCGTGACACGAAAGTGCGCGGTGCTCAAACGAGAACTATATGTTGGAAACGGCCGACCGACCACTGAAACTTCTGCAAACTGTTACAACGAATGCGCGTGGCGCTCAGGCGACTGCCGCATTTTGAAAACCACCCGCCCTCCATCCTGGAAGCTGTTGTCGTGGGACTTTTGTGGGCTATTGTGTTGGGTTGTGTTGAAGGGAAATTGTTGTTCCACCTTTTTCTTCTCCTCTCCCTTCACTCCTCCTCCTCCTCCTCCTCCTCCTCCTCCGCCGCACCCTCCACCTCATCCTCCTCCTCCTCCTCCTTCTCATCCTCCTCCTCCTCCTCCGCCTCCGTTTCCTCCGTCTCCTCCTCCTCCTCCTCCTCCGCCTCTCCTTTTCCTCCTCCTCCTCCTCCTCCTCCTCCAGCGACGCCAACCGACCGCAAGCCGAGGCGACGAGCGGGCAGTCCGTGCTGGCGGCGTGCTCGGGCGCGGCGCCGACGGGCCCCGCCGGCCCCGCGGGCCTGCAGGGCTCGGGGCACACGCTGGAGACGCTGTGCACGTGGCGCTGGAAGTCCTCGGGGCGCTCGCCGCCGTCGACTCCGCGGCCGCCGCCGCGCCGCCGCCGCCGCCGCGCCGCCGCCGCCGCCGCCGACCGCCGCCGGCCAGAAGCCGTCCGCGCCGCCGCCGCCGCAACCGCCGCCGCCGCCGCCGCCGCCGCCGACACGCCGCCGCCGACGCGCCGCCGCCGCCCCCGATGCGTTGCCACCGCGGGGGCCGTGCCTCGAGATCCCGCCGTCGCCGCTGCAAGTTCCTGAGGTACAGTCAAGCCGTATGATGAGGATGCGCGATGAGGATGTAAGGGCCTTGGACGCCCACTTCGAAGCTTCTCGAGCGGGGCGCGGCCAACGAACGTGGCCAGGGATAGACCGAGGAGGCAAGGATGCAAGGGCACCCTTCCATCCTTACCATGCGGGTTGACTGTATAAGGGGGAGTCTCATGTGGAGGAGGGGCCTGGCTTGAGCTGTCTTCGGGAGGGCTGGCTCCTTGGGAGGTCTGCTCGCGCGGCCGCACTTTCATGACTGGCCCGGGGCACCCTTGGAAAAGTCGCTCGTCCTTCCTCCTCCTCCTCCTCCTCCTCCTCCTCCTCCTCCTCCTCCTCCTCACCTACTCCTCCTCTTCCTCCTCTTCCTCCTCCCCCTCCTCCTCCTCCTCCTCCTCCTCCTCCTTGCGGGTCGACTGTACAGGCTCGCCGCCGTGCTCGATGCCGTCGTCGCCGCCGCCTTCGTCGCCACTGTCGCCGCCGCCTTCGTCGTCGCCGCAGCCGTGGCCGACTAGAGGTCGGTGCCTCGAGGAGCAACCCTTCGGGCCTCTCTGGGCCCGTGGTGGCCTCAGGAAACCTCGGGGGGACTCAAGGAGGACGCCGGCATCATCATCGCCGCCGTGGCCGCCGTCGTCGTTGGAATTCTCCTCCTCCTCCTCCTCCTCCTCCTCCTCCTCCTCCTCCTCCTCCTCCTCCTCTCCTTCCTGTTCTTCGAAATAATATTACCATTGTAATCACTATTATGAAATGATATCAGTATGCTTATAATTATTGGCCTTGCTGTTCGTATTACTCGTATTCCGAGTATTAGTAATCATAGTGCTCGTCGTATTCTTATTTGTATGCTTCGTCCCCTTATTCTCGATATTATGATTACTAGTAAAATTCTTAGCTGTATATGTGCTAACTATTGTTATGTATCCTCTTCGTGGTATTATCATGTGTCTTCTTTGTCCTCCTCCTCCTTCTCATCTTTATCCTCCTCATCCTCCTCATCCTCCACATCCTCATCATCCTGCTCCTCCAAAGTATCATCATCGTCAGCATCATCACCATCGTCATCATCCTCATGATCATCATCATCATCATCATCACAATCATCATGAACGTCATCATCCTCCCTACCACCACTACCACCATCATCATCATCAACACCATCGTCACCCTCATCATAAGCATCATCATGATCAGGATCATGATCATGATCATCAGCATAATCATCCGAATCATCATGATAAACGTCGCCATCACAACCACCCTCATCATCATAACAGTCATCATAATCATCATGGCCATGATCGCCGCCATAATCACAATAATCAGCATCATCGTCATCGTCATCGCCATCCTCATCACACTCACCATCACCATCATCATATACATCGTCGTCGGGGTCACCGTCGTCGCTGTCGCCATCACCATGATCATCAACACCATCAACATCAGCAGCAGCATACCATTCAGCATCATCGTCAGCGCCAACATTGTCGCCACCAACACTACCACCATGATAATCATCATCGCCACCATCGTCGGCATCATCATCAACAGCATCAGCTTCAACATCACCATCCGCATCATAATCATAACCAGCATCACCCGCATCAGCATGATCATAACCATCAGCAGCATCATCATTATAAGCATCATCAACATCATCACCCGCATCGCCATCGCCATCATCATCACCATCACCGTCATCATCATCACCACCCCCACCACCAATACCATCATGATGACATGCCTCACGTCCATCACCTTACCACCACCACCAGCATCAGCATCATCATCTTCAGCAGCATCATCACCCTAATCATCAGCAGCATCATCATTGTCAGAGTCAGCATTTTCGTCATCATCATCGTTGCCATTACGACCACCACCACCATCATCACCATCATAACCACCGCGCTCATCATCATCACCACCACCACCACCATCGTCATCGCCATCATCATCATCCTCATCTTCCTCTTCCTCCACCACCATGAGCACCACCATCACCACCACCACCTCCCCCTCCTCCTCCTCCTCCTCCTCCTCCTCCTCCTCCTTCTCCTTCTCCACCACCTCCTCCTCCCTCTCCACGCTTTCAACGCAACAGAGGCGCCTGCGAGCTAGCCGACGAGGTGAGAGACCAAGTCTCTGCTCAAGCTCTCCCCCAGTCGAGCCTCTCCTCCTCCTCCTCCTCCTCCTCCTCCTCCGCCTCCCCTCCTCCTCCTCCTCCTCTTCCTCCTACCTCCTCCTCGCACACCGTGGCGCCCGAGGTCCTCGACGGGCGACCGCGGGACAGGCCCGACGTACATTTGGCGGCGCCCCCCCCCCCCCCCCCGGCGGCCGGCGGGCCCAGCGAGGCCGCGGCACCGCCGGAGGCGCCGCCAGCCTCCTCGAGAGGCTCCTTGTGCCGCTGCCTCGCCGCAGGTTGGTTGGCGGCGGCGGTCCCTCGCGGCCTACTCCTCCTCCTCCTCCACCTCCTCCTCTCCTCCTCCTCCTCTTCCTCCTCCTCCTCCTCCTCCTCCGTCTTCCCTCCTCCTCCTCCTCCTCTTCCCCCTCCTCGTCCTCACCCTCGCCCTCACTCTCACCATCATCGTCCTCCTCGTCCTCCTCATCCTCATCCTGTTCCTTCTTCGTCGCCTCATCCTCCTCCTCCTCAGACTCCTCGTCCGAATCCTCCTCCAACTCCTCCTCCTCCTCCTCATCACCCTCTTCTTCTTGTGAGTAGGTTTCTTCTGATCCAAATTTTTAATATTAATAGTTTGGAAATGAATAGGTTGCGCCTTAGTGTTGTTATTGTTATGGTGGTCTGTGTTAGTCTTCTGTTTAGTAGTCTTGGTATGATTATTCGTCGGCTTACTATTACTAGGCTTCGCGAAAATAGGATTCTTGCTAGTCTGCCAATTAGTATTCCTATGCTTCTCTTTACTATTCTGAGTATTCGTATGAGTGTTAGTACTCCTCCTCCCCCTCATCTGCCTCCTCATCTGCCTCCTCATCATCCTCACCCTCACCCTCTGACTTGTTTTTCTCCTCCGTCTCCTCCTCCTCCTCGGGGCTCGGCTCGTCTCTTGCGGGTTGGTTGGCGTGGCGGAACCTCGGAAGCCTCCTCCTCGTCCTCCTCGTCCTCCTCGTCCTCGTCCTCCTCCTCCTCCTCCTCATCATCATCATCATCAGCAGCAGCAGCATCAGCATCAGCATCAGCATCATCATAATCATCAGCATCATCAGCATCATCATCATCATCATCATCATCATCATCATCATCATCATCATCATCATCATCAGCATCATCATCATCATAATCGTCATCGTCACCGTCATCGTCATCATCATCATCATCATCATCAGCAGCATCGTCATCACCATCAACAACAGCATCATCATTGGCATCATAATCATCAGCATCATCATTACCATCATCATCTTCATCACCACCATAATCATCAGCGACATCATCATCAACAACAACAGCATCATCATCATGATCATCAAGATCATCACAATCAGCATCATCAACATCATCATCATCATCATCATCATCAGCATCATCATCATCATCATCATCATCATCACCATCGTCATCAGCATCATCATCATCAGCATCATAATCATCATCGTTATCGGCATCGTCGTCTTCATCATCAGCAACAGCATCATCAACAACAGCAGCATCATCACCATCAGCATCATCATCATCAGCATCACCATCAGCAGCAGCGCCATCATCATCAGCACCATCATCAGCATCAACATCAGCATCAGCATTCGCATCAACATCAGCATCACCATCACCAGACTTAGTTGCATATTCATCTCCATCATGATCATCAGCAGCATCATCATACACATATACCGCATCATCAGTATCATCGTCATCGTCAGTATCATCTCCATATCCATCATTCGCAGCAGCATCAGCAGCATCATAAACAGTATCAGCATCATCATACGCATTTTCATAATCAGCATCAGCATCATCAGCATCATCAGCAGCATATGCATCAGCAGAATCACCATCATCGCCAGCAGCATCATCAGCATCATCAGCATCATCCACAACCTGATCAGCATCGTCATCATCATCATCAGCAGCATAATCATGTTCATCATCATCACCATCATCAGCATCATCAGCATCATCAGCATCATCATCAATATCATATACACTATCTTCCTCACCCTCACCCTGACCCTCACCCTTATCCTTCTCCTTCGCCTCTTCCTCTTCCTCCTCCTCCTCCTCCTCCTCCACTTTGAGATCCCCAGATCGGGGGGAATCTAAGGTGGGGTAGGGGCAGAGGTGGGGTTGGGAGTAGCATCGCTCTGAGCTGCTCCTGAAGGGAGGAAGTGTGAGCATCCAGCTGGGCTCGATCCCTACCCCCACCTTGGGACAACCCCCCCCTTGCGGACCCCCGGCCACATCTCCCACGGCGATACGACATTGAAGGGGCCCCAGGACACACAAATAAAAACACACAAATCAAAATATTCCCCATATTATCCAATATTTGTGGGTTTTTTGTTTTCCCCCCCACTTCCGATATTCTCCCATATTTTCCTGGGAATCGACGATCGATTGTGTCTGTGTGTTTTTTCCCCTCCCGAGACATGTTCCTCTGGCACGCTTTCCTCCACTTCGGCCTCTGACGGCCAGGTTCGCACCAGCCTCGAACTTATCCCTATCCCTAAGATTGGCACGGCACAAGGCGATGACAATCTTAGGGAGGCGCCCCCTCAAAAACTGAGGGCATCCTGAAGATTGGCATCGTGATGAGGAGATGCCCAGCTTAGGGATAGTGACTACCTACCACACCACCCCAACCCAACCCGAAGACCCGAATTTCGGGTTGGGGGGGGTATGGGCTCCATGTGTGTTCTTTCGAGGTTCCCGGACCCCCCCCCCACTAGAAATTGAGGGTAAATCTGAGCCTTCGGGTTGGGTTGGGGTGGTTTGGTGGGTGGTGAGATAGGGATATGTTCCAGGCTGGTCAGGTTCGCCTGGACCCTCCCCGGCGCGATCCTCCTCCTCTTCCTGCATGCGGCAGCGCGGCTCAAGGCGGAGCCCGCCGTGGCGACGAGGGCGCCCCCCTTGGGGGCCCGAGGACGGGGACGCAGAAAGCCAGAACGCTGGAGGACGACGAAGACGAAGCCAGGACGAGGATCCAGTCGGGCGAGGATCAATCGAGAAAACATATTTGATCTGGAGACTCTGGGAAATGCCTCGGGTGCCGCGGCCTTCTCAGAGCGCTCCGGAAAGCTCTGGGAGCGTTCCGGAACGCTCTGGAGTGGACTTATCCTCGTCCCAGCCCCGAACGACTTCCTCGAGATCCCCAAATCTCCGACGATGATACGATTCTTTAATCCGGCGGTTTTTCTCGAATTCGGCATATGGCGCCAACTATCGGGCCCCAAGACCATCACAAACGGAGCCGAGACGAAAAGGTGGCCCTGGGCAAGGAGTCGGGACCGCTGGCCCCTCTGCTCCTCCTCCTCCTCCTCCTCCTCCTCCTCCTCCTCCTCCTCCTCCTCCTCCTCCTCCTCCTCCTCCTCCTCCTCCTCCCTTCTGCGCGCCGCGGAGTACTTGTCTGGGTGCTTCACCACGCCCGTCTGCTTCGAGTACATCACCTGCGCCGCCGCGGGGGGCGGCGGCGACGACGACGGCCGGCGACGGCTGGAGGCCTCCGGAACGAGGCCTCGGGAGGCCTGGTTGAGAGGTCTCCAGAGGTCCCGCGCGGGGGCATCCACTTGGATCAGGGCGGGGTCTGCTGAGGGGATAGCGCGGCGGCGACGAGGAGGGCGAATCGCCCAGGGGCGGGCACTGCACGCATTTGCCCGGGAGCCTGTTCGAATGCATAGATCATCGGCGCCCCTGGATACATGTATTGCTCTCCCCTGGCCTATTCGCCCCCTATCGTCGCCTCTGAATAGGGGGTATCTACACCCCTGCGCGAAACTTCACGCAAGTTCCCCCTCCCCCGCGCCCTCGATTTCGATGTTCAGTGGCGCGCGCGCGGCGCGGTCCGCGGACGCCGACGGAAAATATCAAGTCGCGCGTTTCGGCATCAGCATTGACATTTGGGGGTCTGGGGGTGCCGACGCGGCGCGGGAAAAACTTGCGTTAAGCTTCGCGGAAGGATGTGGGTGCCTTCGAGGCTGGGTTGTACCTGGCCGAACCTAGTATATAAGCGGGCTGCGTGTGCCAGAGAGGCTCAGGGCGGGATCTGATAAGAGGTTCGCCAGCATGGAAGCCAAACAGCGCGTGTGTTCTGGCAGTCGGTGTTGTGCAAACTATGTGGGGCAGTGTACGCGGTGCAAGATAGCTTGTGCAATCGATGTTGTGCAATTCAGGTTGTGCAATATTTGTGGTCCGGTCTACGAGATACCATACATTTTGCGCAACCCATGTGTTGTGAAATCTGTGTGGTAGGAATATGTTGTGCAGCATACGGTGTGCAACCAATGCTGTACAATATGTGTGGTGTGGTATCTGCTGAGCATTCTTTGCGAAGCAAGCAATGTTGTGCAATCGATGATGTGCAATATATGCTGTGCAGCCTATGTTGCGCAATCTACGATGTGCAGTATCTGTGGTGCAATACATGTCACGCACTGTATGTGGTGCAATCTATGTTGTGCAATGCATGCTGTGCAAAATGTGTTACGCAAAGCAGAACAATGCAAGACAGTGCAACGCACAGAAATGCCAAGCAATGCAAAGCAACGGAAAGCAATGCAGCGCGCAATACAAAGCAACGCACATCAATGTGGGGTGCACATTACTGGCGCGATGAGACGGCGTCGGCGACTGCTTTGCCGCCAGAGCGGCACACCGGCCCAGACGACGGGCAGCGATGAGGCGGCGACGAGGCGGCGACGGCGACTACATAGCCGCCAGAGCGGAACGCTGGCCCAGGCGACGGGCGGCGACGAGGCGGCGGCGGCGACTACGTAGCCGCCAGAGCGGCACACCAGCCCAGTCCCTTGTTTCCTATGTAAGAACCTCTAAGTTCATGTCACTCCCATCGCCACGCTCTCCATGGCAAAACCGCCGACACCCAAGAAGCCCAGAGCACCCTGGAGGCACAAAGGGAGCTTCTTGGCATGGGTGTCCACTACTACTACGACTACTACTAGCCCAAGAAGTCTTGACCCCTTCCCTGAGACCGCTTTTTCATCCTGAGTCCTGTTTGGACGGTCCCTATGCCGGGCGAGGGCCCCCAGAGGCTGAAAACAACGAAAAGCGTGACGTCGTGATTGTCGCATGAGTCCAAGGGGTCTGGGCTTCCCTCGATACCGCTACTCCCCAGACCTCCCCCAGGCTGCGTTCTGAATGAGATTCATAGGCGAATCCAGCGGTAGCCACGAGGGCCTCCATGGACGCCCCCAAGGTGGGAAAACGAGGGACGGGTAGCAGTATGGGGTACAGTAGGGGTCCGACCACAAGAAAACCTCCACAAGAAACCCAATCCTGAACCCCCAGGACGTCCATTGATTTGTGGTGTGGGCACGACACGCTTTGCGTTGCAAAACCATCGAAGCCCAAGAAACCCTAGCAGGGCATTTCTTGGCATAGGTTTCTACTGTAACGAGCGTGCCGCGCCGACGGAGCGCCACGCTATCCACAAGGTCCCGACCGTAGGCCTCCGAAGAGGAGGAGGAGGAAGAGGAGGAGTAGCGGGAGGAGGGGGAGGAGGAGGAGGAGGAGGAGGAGGAGGAGGAGGAGCAGGAGGGGAGAAAGGAGGAGGAGGAAGGAGAGGAGCAGGAGGAGGAGCAAAGAGGAAGAGGGAGAAGGACGGAAAGGAGGAGGAGGAGGAGGAGGGGAGCAGGATGAGGGAGAGCTGGAGTGAGAGCAGGAGGAGCAGAGGATGGAGCAGAGGGAGGAGGAGGAGAGGATGAGGAGGCGGGAGGGAGGAGGAGGAGGAAGGCGGAGGAGGAGGAGGCGGTGGGCGGAGGAGGAGGAGGGGCCCCACCCCCCTCTGCGCGTGGCCGGGACGCGCCGCCTCGTCGTAGCACGCGTCGCCCTGGACGGCGGTGTGGCAGCCCTGCTCCCCGGCGGCGGGCGCCGCGGCGCCCTGCTCCGCGGCGGGCGCCTGCTCCGCGGCCGCAGGGTCCTCTAGCGGGTCCTCGGCGGTGGACGTCGTCGCCGTCGGTCGTCACCTCCTCCTCCTCCTCCTCCACCTCCTCCCTCCTCCCCTCCTCCTGCTCCTTCCTCCTCTCCTCCTCCTCCACCCTCCTCCCTCCTCCCTTCCTCCTCCGGCTCCTCCTCCTCCTCCTCCTCCTCCACCTCCTCCTCTCTCCTCCTCCCTCCTTTTTTCCTCCTCCTCCTCCTCCCTCCTCCTCCTCTCCTCCTCCTCCTCCTCCAACTTCTCCCACTTAGCTCTCCTCCTCCCTCCTCCCCTCCTCCTCCTCCTCCTCTCCTTCCTGCTCCTCCTGTCTCCTGCTCTCTGCTCCTGCTCCTGCCTGCTCCGTGCTACCTGCTCCTGCTCCTCCATCCTCCTCCTCCTCCTCCGACCTCCTCCTCCTCCTCCTCCTCCTCCTCCTCCTCCTCCTCCTCGCTCGCTACTACAGGCTGCGGCTCGAAGCGTAGACTCAGGAAAGGGACGAAAAGGAAGGGAGGCAAGGACTAAGTCCTCCGCCTCGACCTCCAGAAATCCACGAGCCGCCAGAAATTCACGAGCCCCTCATCCTCCTCCTCCTCCTCCTCCTCCTCCTCCATCTCCTCCTCCTCCTCCACCTCCTCCTCCTCCTCCACCTCCTCCTCCCTCTCCTCTCCTCCTCCTCCTCCCCTCCTTTTCCTCCCTCCTCCTCCTCCTCCTCCTCCTTCTTCTCCCCTCCTCCTCTTGAGGCACTGAGGCGCTGAATGGCAGAAGGACTCCTGACGATGCCATCCGTCCTCCTCCTCCTCCTCCACCACCTCCTCCCTCACCTCCTCCCCTCCTGCTCCTCCTGCCCTCCTCTCCTGCTCCTGCTCCTCCTCCTCCTCCTCCTCCTTCCTCTCTTCCTCCTCCTCCTCCTCATCCTCCTCCTCCTACCTCCTCCTCCTCCTCCTCCTCCTCCTCCTCCTCCTCCTCCTCCTCCTCCTCCTCCTCCTCCTCCTCCTCCACCTCCTCTTCTCCTCCTCCTCCTCCTCCTCCACCTCCTCCTCCTCCTCCTCCCTCCTCCTCCTCCTCCTCCTCCCTCCCCTCACATCATACATCATCACATCTTCAACATCATCATCATCATCTTCATCAGCATCATCATCAAATCATCATCATCATCATCATCATCATCATCACCCACCGAAAACCACCTACCACCACCACCACCACCACCACCACCACCATCATACATCATCATCATCATCATCATCATCATCAATCATCATCATCATCCATCATCATCATCAACATCCTTCAACATCATCATCATCATCCATCATCATCAACATCATCATCATCATCATCAACATCATCATCATCATCATCATCATCTCATCATCATCATCATCATCCTTCTCCTCCTCCTCCTCCTCCTCCTCCTCCTCCTCCTCCTCCTCCTCCTCCTCCTCCTCCTCCTCCTCCCCCGCTCTCGATCCCCGAGATCTACATTCGAGGATCGAGGCTGTTCTTGAGGCCTCCAGAGGGTTCCCAAGCTCCCCCAGCGACGCGGCTGCTGCTCCTCCTCCCTCTCCTCCTCCCTGCCGCCCGACGCGGAACGCCAAGGGGGGGGAGACCCACTCAGGGCGGAAGCGTCGGCCTGGAATGGGCGACACATCGCAGGCAGGTCGGCGGCAGGACCCCGATGACGAACGCGCACGTGGGGACCATCGGGCCCCCATCGGCCACGATTTCCCGCACAGCTCTCTGAGAGCTAAGAGTCGGGCGTTGGCAGAACGGGGTTTAGTGGGACCTGGTTTAGTGATGCGCACTGGGGGACGACCCCCCCCGCCCCGCTCCACTAACCAGAACTGCCGTCACCCGAACAAAACACCAGCTACGGCAGACGTGGTTTAGCGATTCTGGCCAATTTTAAAGGCTCCAGGGCCCTACTGCTAAACGGGTCCCCTTACCTGGGGTCCTGGCTATACCCGAAAGAGGGCTTCTGATTCGAGGCCGGCACCGCCTGGCGAGCGTTTCTTCATTCGGCGTTTCGACATTGGGCGGAAGGGGGGGGGGGTCTGGCTCCGGACCCCTGCTTAGTGCGGAGTGCTGCTGTTTGAAATATTGCGGCCTCTGGGGGAGACTCCACCCGCTCGAAACAGGCACCAAAAACAGGCACCAAAAACAGGCATGGGGGGGGTGCGAGGGCCCCCGCGCCGATTGGCACAACAATGAATAAGAACACGACGACCTGGCAGCCCCAGGGCTCGTTTCGGCTTCCGGCAGGAATCCCCTGACGAACTCCTGCGAACACGCAGCTTGTCCCGGAAGGCATGTTTTGACTGCTTCCCAACAAGTGCGCCGTCAGGCTTTCCGGGTTTTGAGAACACGTGGGCGATTGAAGGTCGATGTCCCCCCCCCCCCTTGAGCCTATCCCCCCAAATGTTGTCCAAACCTCCCACGTACAGGAAAAAACGTAACGGATGTGCGTTCGCATCGTAATTTTCGACCTCTGGGGGCCCCCGCTGGGCCCCGGGACCGCCAACAAGAATGTCCAGGATGAGAAATTGGTCCCAGGAAGGAGTCCAGGGCTCTGGGGTTATGTTGCTCCCATCCTACTCAAGGACCACATCCCAGAACTAATTTCGAGCACCCGGAAAAGTGTCAAAAGAGTATCGAAACAGTGTCGAAACAGTGTCGGGCGAGTGTCTCCGAGGGCCCGACACGTGAAAACCCTTGAGTTTCGGTACCTTTTTGGGGCGCTCGAGATTCTTCCTGGTGATCAATGCTCAAGTCGGTTGGATAATCATAACTCTGGGGGTCGGCGCTGCGAACGAAAACACGACGTCGTAGCTCTGGGGAGGCAGGGGTTGATTCAGAATCACGGCCTTGGGGATCGATCTTCGGGGACCTCAACAGGCAGCTGGTATGGACATGTTCGGGGGGCCTAAGACGTGTCCATACCCACCGCCTGCTGGGGCCCACAATTATCAACCCACTTGGCTGTGGATATGCATCAGCCCCCGCTTCGGAATTCCAAAAAACTGACGTCGTGACTTTATCACGACGTCGATCCCCTGAGGTCCTCCACTTCCTCCTCCTCCTTATCCTCCTCCTCCTCCTCCTCCTCCTCCTCCTCCTCCTCCTCCTCCTCCTCCTCCCATCTCCCTCCTCCTCCTCCTCCTCCTCCTCCTCCTCCTCCTCATCATCATCATCCTCCTCCTCCTCCTTCCTTCCTCCTCCTTCCTCCTCCTCCTCCTCCTCTCCTCCTCCTCCTCCTCCGCCTCCTCCTCCTCCTCCTCCTCCTCCTCATCCTCCCCATCGTCCTCCACCTCCTCTTGTCTCGACCCGCTCCCTGGGACCGGCTTCGCATCCCGAGCCGTGTGTTGTTGGCAGCAGCCCCAGGCCTGGCGAGGGCCCCAACAGATGCAGAAAAAACAGCCAAAACTCTGCTGTCGAGCGAGCTTCTCTTGTCCCTGCGCGACGGGGTCTGGACGGGGGGCCTTGGCAAATGACCCATCGCATCAGCACAAGGGGGTGGGGGGGGGGAGATCTCCTCCTCCTCCTCCTCCTCCTCCTCCTCCTCCTTCTCCTCCCTCCTCCTCCTCCTCCTCTCCTCCTGCTCCTCTACTCTCCTCCTCCTCCTCCTCCTCCTCCTCCTCCTCCTCCTCCTCCTCCTCCTCCTCCTCCGCCAGTTGGGCTGCCTCCCCCCATGGGGCTCTCCACCACTGCTGGGCTCTGGGGCCCACCGGGAAATCGTGCGAGCCCCTCGGGGGTGAAAGCCGCTGCTCGATGTCCCGCCTCGGATCCGGGCGGAAGGAAAGTCGGAGGCCGCGGATCACCGAACCCAGCCATGGCGGCAAGGAGCGAAAGGCAACGAAGAGGGGTGGACTGGCTCGGGCGGGGAATTGCAGAATCCTGCAGAATCCTGCAAGATCCGGCACCCAAACCCGGGTCCACGCGACGGATCCTGCAAGATCCTGCAGGACCCTGCGCCCAAACCCGGGTCAGTGCGACCCTGGCCCTGCAGGATCCTGCAAGGTCTGGCGCTCTGGCTGACCCCCGTTTGCATTGACCCCCGTCTCAAGGCTCCCAACTGGAAGTCCCGACCCTTCCCCCGGGACCGGTTTCTCGTCCTGGGTCGTTTTGTTGACAGTCCCGAGGCCTGGCGAGGGCCCCCCGGGGCCGAAAATAGCCAAACACCTCCCGCCCTGATTTTTTGTAACGACGCGATCATGTCTGGGAGGAAGAGGTACCGATACTGCTGCTGCCCAGACCTCTCCGAGGCGGAGCCAGCCGAGGCGGAGGCGGAACCAGCCCAGACCTCTCCCGAGCCCTGGCAAAAAAACGTCGAGGCGGAGCCAGCCGCGAGGACGAGGGCAGGGCAGCGGCATCGGCACCTTTGAGGGGCAACGAGAGGGGGGACTCGGACAGTTCGGGGGAAGCACCGACCTGGAATCGGCGATGCATCGCCGACCAATCGGCGATGGGCCCCGATGGTGACTCCGCACGCTCCTGGGCAGGGTGGGGCTATCAGACCCCTATCCGCGATTCGACTACACGCAAGAGTGACCCTTGGTAAGAGTGACCTTTGGTGCGCGGCTTTTTGGGGGCCGCGGGGGGGGGGGGGGAGGCAAACGCGAGCGCGCAAGACGCCACTGCCGCCTCGCGTTCAGCGATCGGTGGACCCCATTGGGCCCGCACCAAAGGTCACTCCGGCGAAAGGTCACTCTTACAGTCAACCCGTAGAATAAGGATGCGCGATAAGGATGCAAGGGCCTTGGACGCCCATTTCGAAGCGTTTCGAGCGGGGCGCGGCCATCGAAAGTGTCCAAGGATGGACCCAGGAAGCAAGGATGCAGGGGTACCCTTGGGAGGGATGGCTATCCTTACTCTGCGGGTCGACTGTACCTCTAGTCGAGCGATCAAGGCCCCCGAGCGTGGACTCAAGAGAGGACAGGACACGAGAGAGGACACAAGACCCTTCCGAGGTCCACATTGCCACAGGGATGCAGGAGGCACGGGTCGCGAAACGCGGGACACAAGGGTACCCTTGATTTGGCAGGGTCGACCTACTAATACAGGCCGACTGTATGATGTTCCAACCTAGTTTGGCATGGATCTCCAGAAACAATCCTAGACATCGGGCGTCTCGGAAAACATCGAGACGTAGGCATGTCGTTCTTTTCGGCCTCTCGGAGCCCTCGCCGGGCCTCGGGATCGTCAAAAAACAACTCGAGATGAAGAACCGTTCCCGGGGAAGTGGTCGGGAGGTCGGGGGCCCATGTCTCGGAAAAATCGAGGCATTGGATGTCTGGGATTTCGAGCACGAGGAAAGTACCGAAACTGGAGGGTTTTCACGCGTCGGGCCCCCCGGGTGGCGATGCTCGCTCGACACTATGGCGATATATTTCTGGGTGCTCGGAATTAGTTCTGGGATGGGTGCGGGCGTCGGTCTTTGCACCCACACTGTCCGTACCCATTTCGATCGCACCGACTCTCGACCCCTCGACGCGAGGCCAAATCCGTCGATCCTTCGACGGCGGCGGAGCAGGAGGAGGAGGAGGAGGAGGAGGAGGAGAAAGAGGAGCAGGAGGAGCAGGAGGCGGAGGAGGAGGAGGAGAAAGAGGGGAAGAGGATGAGGAGGGGGGGAAAGAGGAGGTGGAGCAAGAGGAAGAGGAGAAGGAAGAGGAGGAGCTCTTTCAGAGCTCTTTCAGGCCGCCACGTCGTGGCACGCCCGCGCGGGCGCGCGCTCGGCGCGCGCGCGCGCGGGTCAGCGCTGCCCCGCAGCACTGCGTTCTCCCTCCCTCGGCCCCCGCCCACAGGGGGACGTGGCGGGGTTCAACCGAGGGAGGCCCACGGCGGCCCGATCTCAGCACTGTAGCTGGTCACGTTGGGTTGCCGCTTCACTCTCGCTCTCCTCTCGCACGCGCCTTATCGGGATGCGTCTCTTGCCCTGCGTGCTCTTCAAGACCATCTTCGCGAAGTCTGGCCTGAGGGGCCACGTGGGCCTGCCGTCTGAGCCAAGCAGGGTGAAGGGGCTGAACTTCCTGCTAGGTGTGATGCTGTACTTCTGGTATCGGGTCTCGAGCTTCTGCTGGTCTTCCTCTGGGAGGGGGGCCCACTCGCCGAGGACATCCTTCGCTTCCCATTGGGCCCCAGCGCTCTCGCATGCCCTGATCCCAGCGCTGTAGCTGATCGCATCTGGCTCGACCGTCGCCTCCCACTTCTCGCACGTGCTGTTGCCATGGCCTTTGCCTCCTGCCAGCCACGTTGATGCGATCACTTCTCGAGCCATCCACATGGCCCTGCTGGTGCCGTCCATCCGCGGTCCGTCCGCTGGAGGCTGAGATCCAAAGCTGCAGCTGATGGCATTGGGCTCTAGCTTCGCCTCGCCCTTCTCGCACTTGCTACTTACCACGCCGTGACTGGCGACATCGGGTTCCAGCTTCGCCTCTCTCTTCTCACAGGGTGGTGCCGTAGCTGCCTGCGACTGTTTGCCTAGGTTAGCGGTGATACTGGGCTCTAGATTCGCCTTCCCCTTCTCGCATTTCTCGCAATCCTTCTCGCATTGCTTCCACTCGCGGCTGTCACACGCATCTGTCTTGATGCTGTGGCTGATGCCGCTGGGCTGGCTCTTTGCCTCCCCCGTTTCACCATTCTCGCATGTCTCCCACTCCTCGCAGCGTGTGTGTAGAGGCTCCTCTCCCGTCTCGCACGCGCAGCTCCGAGCGATTAGGCTAGTGGTGATATCGGGCTCTAGCTTTGCCTTCCCCTTCTCGCATTTCTCGCAGCCACTCTCGGAGATGACGTTGGGCTTTGGCTTCGCCTCCCCAGCGGCATCCTTCTCGCATTTCTCGCACGCGTTTCTCCCAGTGTTGTGACTGATGGTGACGGGCTCCAGTTTCGACTGCCCCTTCTCGCATATCGGTATCGCAAGGCCCTTCTCGCACACACTGGTTTCCTCGCACGCGCCACTCTCGATGCTGAAGCTGGTGACGTTGGGCTTCGGCTTCGCCTCCCCCTTGGCACCCTTCCCGCATTTCTCGCACGCGCGTGTCCCCGTGGTGTGGCTGAGGACGCAACTACCCGAGCAGCCACTACAGCAGCTGTCGCCACCAAGCCTCTTGAAGCTGCCACTACAGAGATTGCTATCATTCCCAGCGCTGTAGCTGATAATGTCCTGATCCCATTGCCCACGCTTCTTGAAGCTGCCACTACAGAAATTGCCACCATTCCCAGCGCTGTAGCTGATAACGTTGGGCTCTTCCGGAGTCGGCCTTTGTTCGCTTTCTCTCCCCGCCGCTGGCCACGTCGCCTCCTGGTAGATCTCCGTCCACGGGAGGCCCCACCAGGGCTGCTGCTGGCACTGGACGCTCCAGTCCAACTCGACCTGGCGGCACGTGGCCAGTCGGAGCCTGCGGTTTGCACGTCTGCGGCTTCTGCTGGCCGTAGCCTTGGGGGGCCACCCTCCTTCACTGAGGGGCCCGCACCACGACTCGCCCAGCATTCTCACGCGCCGCCGCACGGCATCGGGGCCATGACCGTCGCGCCCGCGGCGCTGGGGGCGGGCTCTCGGGCGTCTGTGCCCGTTCGGGCCGCCACCTAGAAGGAAGAGGAGGAGATGGAGGAGGAGGAGGGGGAGGAGGAGGAGCAGGAGGAGGAGGAGGAGGAGGAGGAGGAGGAGGTGGAGGCGGTGGAGACGGCGGGCGCCGCGGCGAGCAGGCCCTCTCGACGGCGAGGCCCCCTCGACGGCGCGCGCCCCCGCCGAGGCCCTCGGCGGCGAGGCCCCCCCTCGGCGGCGAGGCCCTCGGCGAGGCCCTCCGGCGAGGCCCTCGGCGGCGGGGCCCCCTCGACGGCGGCGCCGCGTCCTCGGAGGCGGCCGCTTCGGCGGGCGACTGCTCCTCGGCGGGCGCCGCGTCGGCGACGGCGCTCTGCGGCTCCTCGGGGGGGGGGGGGGGGGGGGCAGCGGCCGCAGCGGGAGGCGGCGGAGGAGGAGGCGGAGGAGGCGGCGGAGAGGAGGAGGAGAAAATAGCGGCGGGGGAAAGGGGGAAGGGGAAGGGGGGGGAGGGGGCAGGGGAAGGGGGAGGCGGAGGAGGAGAGGAGAAGGAGGAGGAATAGGAGGAGGAGGAAGAAGACGGGGGAGGAGAGCCGCGGCAAGGGGGCGAAAGGGGAACGGGAAGCGGAAGGGAAGGGAGACGAGGAGGAGGAGGAGGAGGAGGAAGAGGAAGGAGAGAGAGGAAGAGGAGGGAGGAGGAGGAGGAGGAGGAAGAGGAGGAGGAGGAGAAGGAGGAAAACGAGGAGGATGAGGCGGCGGACGAGGAAGAGGAAGAGGAGGGGAGGAGCAGCGGCAGGAGGAGGAGGAGGATGAGGAGGGTGAACAAGGGGGAGGCGGAAATTGCTCCTCCTCCTTCTCCTCCTCCTCCTCCTCCTCCTCCTCCCCCTCCTCCTACAAGCTACGAGCTACGAGCTACGAGCTACAAGCGCGGCCACCCCTCCCCTTCCACCTCTCTTCCTTATAAAGAGCTCCTCCCTGTCGCACCACGAGGCTGGTCGAAAGGGCGGGCCGGGCGTTTCATCTGAGACCGCCGCGCCACTTACGATCCTGAGGCTGAACGTTCCACCAGCCCTCTGGGCGTAGATGATTTAGGGAGTTTCCTCTGCCACCCCCCTTCTGCCCCTTCGGGGAAGGGTTTACCCCTCCCCCCTACCCCCTCCCCTGGACCTGGACGGGGCCGGTCGCGAGCGGTCAGGGCGTCCAAAACGGCCTCGGCGAGGAAGCCAAACTCATTGGTTTTCCTATGGCTTTCGCCCCATGTTGGCCTCTTGGGGGGGGCGACGCTAAAATGAGCTCCCCTCTTATTTGATCGAACTCCTCCAAGATGGCCTCACGAAGCGCCCAGGAGGCCCCAAGAGGTCCCAAGACGGCCCCACGATGGCCCCAAGAGGCCCCCAGGAGGCCCCCAGGAGGCCCCCAAGAGGACCCCAAGCAGCCCCAAGAGGCCCCCGCGAGGCACCCAAGACGCCGAAGAGCCCCCCAGGACCGCCAAGAGACCCCAAAGACGTCCCAAGAGGCCACCCAGAAGCGCCGAAGAGATACCCCAAGAGGCTCCGAGAGGAATCCAAGAGACCTCTGACCCTTCTGCTTGCCCTCCTCCTCCTCCTCCTCCTGCTCCTCCCTCCTCCTCCTACTCCTCCTCTTCCTCCTCCTCTTCCTCCTCCTCCTCCTCCTCCTCCTCCTCCTCCTCCTCCTCCTCCTCATCATCATCATCATCATCACCATCATCATCATCATCATCATCATCATCATCATCATCATCATCATCATCATCATCATCATCATCATCATCATCATCATCATCATCAGCATCATCATCATCATCATCATCATCATCATCATCATCATCATCCTCATCCTCTTCATCCTCCCTCTCTCCACTCCCTCATCCATCCATCCAACCTCCTCCTTCTCCTCCTCCCTCCTTCGCACGGTTCGGCCGTCCCCCTCTTTGCTCCCGCACTTCCCTTATCACCTCAACTCGCCCAGACATGGTTTTTGGATTGGCTGAAGGGGATGCGCGAAGCGTCTAGAACTTGAAACGAATTTGCGATGGAAGGCGGCCCGTTTTCAAACTGTGGCTCTCGCTTTGGCGTCGCGCAAATTCGTTGTCAAAAATGCAAGAGCTTCACGGATGGAGGGCGGGTCGTCTTCAACATGCGGCTCTCGCCTCAGCGCCGCGCAGATTAACACTGCAGCAATATCACGAATGGAAGGCGGGCCGTTTGTGTTGTGTTATGTGGCTCTCGATGTAGCGCCGCGCAAATTCCTCTTAAAGATGTGCAATAGCTGCACGGATGGAGGGTGTGCCGTGTTGTTTCGAAATGCTGCTCTCGATTCAGCGCCGCGCACAGTCGTCTTGAAAGCTTGCAAAGGCTTCACGGATGGAGGGCGTTTCCTCGTCAAGAAGTGGCTCTCGCATTAGCGCCGCGCGCACTTGTTTTGCGAGCTTGCAGAAGCGTGTCAAGGGCGCTCATGACTCACGTCCGAGAAATGTTTTTGGCAAGATGTCGGAATGGCAAGGCGCAACAATCAGATGATTCGCGGCGTTGAGGTCCCGGGAGAGATTCTCTGGTACGTTTCAGGGTCGTTAAGACGCAACAGTAGCAGTGATTCGCGGCATGGAAGCCCCAGGAATGATGTTCTGGCACAGTTCCGGATGTTCAAAACGGTTGTCTTCCAACCTCTATGACGAATGAGCTTTTGCAGGGGCCCATGAAGGGGAAACATGAAGGGACGGTTCATTGCGATATCGTTGTCGTTGGTGAGTCTTGGGTGTGCACTGGTCCTCCTCCTCCTCCTCCTCCTCCTCCTCCTCCTCCTCCCTCCTCCTCCCCCTATGCCTCCTCCTCCTCCTCGCACGGATCCAATGCCTCCTCCTTGTCGGCATGTATCCCGCTCTGCTGTGGGCGACGAGCCGCGCCACGAACGCGCCGCCGACGAACGCGACCGCCGCCGACGCCGCGCTCGAACGCGACCGACGCCGCGCTCGAACGCGACCGGCGAGCGTAGGCAGCCCACAAAAGACGTACAGTCAAAACTGGTAGTAAGGTTTGCACGCGCGATATGGGTGCAAGGGCCAGGGTCACGCCGACACTTGACGAGCGGGGCGCGGCGAACGAAATTGGCCGAGGATGGGCCGAGGGGGAAGGATGCAAGGGGCACCTTGGAGGGTCGCTCATCCTTCCTATCAGTGCTGGCTATAGCGCTGGGAGCCCACAGGAGACGCAAACGGCCAGCCGCGCACACGAACACGACCCCCATCGGATCCGCGAGGCCAGCCTCGTGTTGCGAACGCTCGCGCAGCGCATGCTCTCGAAACCCACGAGGATCCGTGTGCACGTACATCCTTTCTTCGCTCCTGAAAACGCACGCGCGAGGAAAACAGTCTCTGGGGCGTCCCAAGATTTGGACGCCCGACATGGATACGGAAACAAATTGGTACGATGCCCAACGAGAGATGCTGTCCAAAACCGACAGCGGCCGCTGTTGGGCAGGCGGCCTTCTGTCTCAAGTGGAGAACGACCGCCGCGACGACGACAGCGAACCCTGTTCAGAATGAACACGACCTGCCGTTGGACTGTGTAACCAGATGGTTTCGTACAGTCGGCCCGCTGAAATAAGAAACGCTGAGTAAGGAACGAAGCCTCGTTTAGGCTTTTAGGCCCCAAACCCGTCTTCGTTCGCAGAGAGGGCTGGAGGAATAGCTAGCCATGGAAGAACCCAGACATAGCCTCGAGCACCCAGAAAAGTATCGAAGCAATGTCGAGCGAGTATCGCCTCCAAGGGCCCGAAACGTGAACACCCTCCAATGACGGTGCTTGCCTGCTGCTCGAAATTCTTCCTGCTATCCAACTTCCCTGTAGACCCCGAGGCGTTCCCTGGGGCCGATTGCTCATCCGGGGTCGCCTCGCGACGGGGCCCACTTCCCCCCGGAGCACGTCTCCCCATGGAAACGCGAAGAGGAGGAGGAGGAGCAGGAGGAGGAGGAGCAGGAGGAGGAGGAGGACGAGACGTAGCCTGAGGCGCGCTGATCCACCCGAGGAAAGGCCGGCGCACTGACTTTACAGGAGGCCAACCGAATATGAAGGAGCGGCGTGGCGGTGCTCAACGGCCAACGGCCAGAGGAGCCGAGCGCATCAAGATGACCAACGGTCAGAGGAGGAGGAGAAGGAGGAAGAGGAGGAGGCCGAAAATCGAGACAGTCTATTGCAGTGGCCGGGAGGCCTCCCCAGAAGGCTCCTCGGAGACGGGGCGAGCCTCCAAGAAGCCCCCTGCCTGCTAGGAGTTGCGCGTTCCGACGGGCGGAGCAAGGGAGGTCACCCCGCAGGGCGCGGGGAGAGGCGACGCCAGACTCGAAGGCACAGCTGCGACGGCACCTGCGGATGACCCTACAACATCCTGAGATCCGACGGCGCGACAAAAGATTGAACCGTCGTGAAAAATAGAGGCCGGAGCCCCAGCCCCCATCCTTCTGCCACTTTGGAGGCCAGAAACGGTGCGGTGACAGACCGCGCGGTGACCTCGAAAGCCCCCAAGACCTCACCGCACGGTCCGTCACCGCATGGTCTTGGGACCTCGGAGGCCCCTGTCGCCCGAGACATCATCGGAGAACGACCCGAGTCCCAAAACCGTGCGCTGACCCCGAATCCCCTCCGACTCACCGCACGGTGTGGTCACCGCCCCGTTTGGGGGGGCCCCCAAGCCACATTTCGGGCCGGATCGATCCGAGGTGGTCCCGGGGCCCGAAGCCCAGGCGAGCACGCCCAGCTCGAAGAGGTGGAGACGCCGGCATAGCTCAGGGAATGTCTGCGCCGAGCGCCCCGCATGCTGGAAGCTCCCCCGCCCGCATTTGGACAAGCGGCGGCGAGCGAGGGGGGGGGGAAGGCGAGGAGGAGGAGGCGAGGAGGCCTTCTCAGAGGGCGGCGGGGCTTCTCAGAAGCCCTCGCGCCTGCTGAGAGGTCTTCTGTTTCGTCGGGGAAGGCTCAGGACACTTCTCAGAGGGCTGGGGGCTGGGGGCAGTCCCGAGCCTTCTGATCGACTCCACGCAAGAGTGACCCTGGGCAAGAGTGACCTTCGGCGTGCGGGGGGACCAAGCACAAGCGCGCAAGACGCTGCTGGCGTTAGGTCGGGCATGTCCCCCTACAGGCGGAGTTTGGACGAAGAATAAAATAGTCAAAATATAGCCCAAAATTGTCAAAACGAGCAAAAATCGTCCCCTGATTATGTTTGACTATGTTTGGACACTCCTCCTGTAGAGGGACACGCCCGACTTGATGCTAGCGCATTTTGTTCGGCGGGCGATCGGGGGGGCCCAATGGGCCCCGCACCAGAGGTCACGCCAGCGAAGGGTCACTCTTACGTGTAGTCGACCCAAGAATCGAAGAACAATCTACGGCACAACCATAAACTGTTTGCGCTCCGCGTGGGTTTCTTGGCTCGCCAAGGGCGGCGCCGAAAGCGCCGCCGGGGGGGCACTTTTATGTTTATGGCGGTTTCCTTCAT